ATGCACACGCGTGCACACACAGACCCTCCCTTCTTGCATGCAGACACGCGCAGTCCCTCCCCGCATGCAGACACGCACCGGGGTATGGGCACGAGCCCCTAGTTCCTGGTCCAGCAATGCAACCAGGAGCCAGGTGGTGCTGGGGCAGGAAGACAGGGAAATGGCTGGGGGTGGGGCAGGGCTGGGCTGCTGCATCCTGCTGCCAGCTTCCCTAGGTTCTGCTGCCCCTGTCTCCTGTTGTGTTTAACAGGCAGCCAGGAGCAGATAAGTATTTTCTAAACTTTTAGAGCCCCCACAGGTGGGATAGAATGGCCTGGATCACTTATCCTATCCCTGGTATAGGGTAAATGGATTCCAGGTTTCTCTTGGGCTTCACCTGACAAAGCAGGCAGTTTTCTCTTGGACTTTGGCCAACAAAGCAGGTAATTTTGACACTTCCAGAAACCAGTGTTCCCTCTGAGCTGTGTGGTGTGCGTAGCTGCGCAGGCACGCCTGGCAACGCTGCATGACCATGCCTGCGCAGCCACATACACCACACAGCTTAGAGGGAACACTGTCAGAAACCCTTCAGATATTAGATGTTACCAGTCTGCTAACAAGGAGCAAGGACAGTGGTTAAATGTAGTCCTCTGATGCCAGAGCTGGAGATCAGAGCTGCCATAATTTAGCTAGGTGTGGAGTGCTAGATTCCTTTGGGCAATAATCAAACTCCCTGCTCCCCTTCCTAACTTACAGCAACGCCAAGGCTCCCTTCACCTTTGAATTATCACTAAAATTCCTGAAGATACATAGGGATCACTGCTTAGTTGCAGGTTGTAATTTATTAGCGATGAGGTTTCCATTTGTTTGTATGACATTGTATGACTCCCAGCTTTGTAAGATACTTCCAGTGACCTTAGGTGACGTAACTATATCAACAAATGAAAAATAAGGAAAGGAGGTATGTAAAGAGAAAAACCTCTCAATTTCTGTAATGTCCATATTCCACAAAGCTGTCCCAAACAAGTTGTCTAGGGTCAGAAGCATTACTGGTAGCATGATCTCAGTTCGTTTGGTGCACAGGAAATTCTAAAAAACAAAACAGTGCTATTGCTCTGTATTCTGTGTTCAAGGATATTTGATCACTGAAGCTGATAATTGTATGCGTCTCTTCTAACTAAAGGGCTCAGATGATGAAGATGAGAGTCAAAAAGTTCCACCTCCCCCAGAAACTCCAATGCCGCCACCTCTTCCCCCCACTCCTGATCAAGTCATTGTGCGGAAGGACTACGATCCAAAAGGTAAACCAGAGCAGTGACAGTGAATGGCTTCCTTAGTCGCAGAACAGTCAAACAAACAATTGTTACTAAAATGTGCAAAGGAGTGATATACTTAACACTGTGGCTTTCTTCTTCCAGCTTCCAAGCCTTTACCACCTGCACCAGCCCCAGATGAGTATCTTGTCTCCCCCATCACCGGAGAGAAAATTCCTGCTAGTAAAATGCAGGAACACATGCGAATTGGGCTTCTGGATCCTCGCTGGTTGGAGCAGAGGGATCGGTCTATTCGTGAAAAGCAGAGTGACGATGAGGTTTATGCCCCAGGTAGGCTTGGGGCCTCTTGCAGATCTCCATTTTTTTCATTTAAAACCCAGTTCCTGACTTGTGTCATTAATTAACTAGCCCTTGTAAGTAGGGACATAATTTTAAAATATTTTTAAATGCCATTCTTTATACTGTGCTAGTTAGCGTATGTATTGTGATTATTCTGGAATAGACAGTCATCCAATGAAGTTAACATTTTTGTAAAGTTTAATATTATAATGAGCTGTTGCCCAGCCACCACCAACTTTAAATTCAGGCTTTTGGTAGCAGTTTAGCTGGACTCTTCAGCACAAAATGGATTGAAAGGAATTAACAAGGCTTGGTTGTTGTCTTGGTTCATCATACGAGAAAATATGCCTTTTAACTCCTTCCTTTCTCTGTTTCTGCCTTTCTGAAGGCTTGGATATTGAAAGTAGCTTGAAACAGCTGGCAGAGCGCCGTACCGATATCTTTGGTGTGGAAGAAACTGCTATTGGTAAAAAGATTGGAGAAGAGGAGATCCAGAAGCCAGAGGAAAAGGTAAAGTGAAAAGCCTGCTTTAAATTTTCCTGCTGTTCTGAATTTTCAGCAGTGGGGAGCCTCCATAGTCTTGTTTGTTCCTACTGTAAAACTGAAATCCTGATTTATCTAACAGTTTGATATATATTCTGTTTTCTTTCTGACCCAGGTGACTTGGGATGGCCACTCTGGCAGCATGGCCCGTACACAGCAGGCTGCTCAGGCCAATATCACCCTGCAAGAGCAGATTGAAGCTATCCATAAGGCCAAGGGGTTGGTGCCAGAAGACGACAGCAAGGAGAAGATCGGACCCAGCAAACCCAATGAAATGCCCCAGCCTCCACCTCTTTCATCTGCTTCAAATCCCCCAGTTAATGCTCAACCAATCACTTCTGTGCCTCGCCCTCCCTCAGTAAGCAGTCTTATTTCTAGAGATGCACACGGTTGTGATACTTAAATGGAACTAGGGTTTTAGGTTGTAGCCATGTTGGTCTGAGGACATAGGCATGGAACTAGGCTTTGTTACAGCTGACAGTCATTGTAGGGTGCTGGGTGGAAACAGATGTTGAACAAGTTAAGTGTTTGATCTGCCAAATTGGTTTTAAACCATAAAATTAACCATAGAAACAAATTAGAAATTTAACATAAATTTAGTATTATCCAGCTATAGAGGTTTTGGAAAGGGATGACCTCAAGCTGAGTAGAGAAGAAATTAACAATGACAAATCAGAAAGGAAGAAAATGTGACACTGAAGTATTGAGCCAAGAAAAAGCTTTCTGGTGGAAAGGAAGGCAGTCTAGATTAAAGGGCAAAACCCATACTTTGAAGTAAAATTAGTCATCTGCATTGGGTGTGAACATTTCTTGGACATCTCATTCTGTTTTCCCCACTGAATTTGTCTTAATGTTACCAAGTTGGCAGCATTCTGCTGCATGGTTCTGTTGAGAGATTTTCTGTGTCTGTCTGTGTTGCACTGTGACCCTTGAGTTGCCCCTGGAGTGGGAAGTGCACAAGTTACTACTGATGTGTTTACTGATACTTAAAACCAACTTCCTAATGAGCTTTGGGTGATGGAACAGGAATGGCAACTGGAAGTGCACATACCTCAGTCTCCAGGCTTTTGTTCCTCCAAAGAGATTCTAAATGTATGGGAATTTACAGTTGTCAGGAGCATGAAAGATTGAATTTCTGAGTATGCAGAATTGCCTGTTGTAATAAAAATCTCTCTTCTTTCTAGATGCCACCTGTCCGTGCCACAGTTGTTTCTGCAGTTCCTGTCATGCCTCGTCCCCCCATGACTTCTGTGGTCCGTTTACCTCCAGGCTCTGTCATAGCTACCCCCATGCCACCGATAATACATACTCCACGCATCAATGTTGTCCCGATGCCACCATCTGCTCCTCCCCTCATGTCCCCTCGCCCACCTCCTATGATAGTACCAACAGGTTAGTGACGTCTCATAATGTACATTAATTACATAGACTGACTTTTTTGTTTAACATGGCTTTGGGGTTCAACATTCAACTTTGCTGTCATGTTAAATGTGTGTGAGATTGTTAGCCTTGCCACCTTTCTGGGAAGATGCTTATTTGAATGTCCCAGCTGCTGTCTGCTGGTGACCAGTCTAGGTGAAACTTAAAAACCCTATTTTTCTTGCAAAAAAAAGTAGGATAAACCCAAATGTCCTGGATGGCACTTCCTATCTTATTGCCAGTTTGATGTTCAGTACTATAAGATGAGTTATTGGCAAGTGAATAATGATGGTTTTTCTGTTTTGGCTTACCAGAAATTTAATACTTCGGTTTGAAAGGCACATTAGTAAAATCAACTTTGTGCTGCTTGTACACTGAGATTTGTCCTATTTTTGACAGTGTACACCAGACTGAGAGCATTTAAATTCCCCTGTGAGCCACAAAAATATCTCGTGCTGTTTATTAGCTCCCCCTGGACCTCTTCCATACATTTATTCATGTGAAGATCTTTAGTAGCACTGTACATCTGTTATGACTAGAAGTCCCTTTTTGTCTTTTAATGACCACTGCTGGTCACTGGCACAGAAATTGAAATAATGTATGCTCAGGGAACAGTCACTGCATATTGAGTGGGTGGGTGTATATGTGTATTAAAACTGCTTTGAAGATAATTCCATCCTTTTTCAGCATTTGTCCCAGCCCCTCCCGTGGCTCCAGTACCTTCGCCAGCACCAATGCCTCCTCACCCACCACCACCTATGGATGATGAACCTGTGTCAAAGAAACTGAAAACTGAAGACAGCCTGATGCCAGAGGAGGAGTTTCTGCGTAGGAACAAGGTATGACAAGGTCACAGGCTTAGTGGATGAGGGACCGCGGTGGATGCAGTCTGCCTTGACTTTGGCAAGGCTTTTGATACCATCTCCCATGATGTTTTCATAAGTAAGCAAAGAAAATAATTCTAAATGAAACTGTTTAAGGTGGGTGTTCTATGAGTAGGAATCAAAGGGTTGACTTCAAACTGGGAGGAAGTATCAAGTGGGGTTCCCCCAGGTCTGTTCTGGATCTGATACTGTTTAACAGTTTAATGACTGGAAGGTGAAATCGAGTTCATATTTTAGTATGTTTGCGAATGGCATCATGCTGAATAGGTAACAGACTCATTGGCGATTAAGAGTAGGATTCAAAATAACCTTATAGAAATGGTTTGAAGTAAATCAGGTGAAATTCAATAAGGACAAGTATAAATTGCTGCATTTAGGATGAAACAATTAAATGCATAGATATAAATAGGGAAATGACTGGCTAGACTGCAGTACTGTGGAAAGTTGTCCATGTGTTATAGTGAACCTCAAGCTAAATATGACTGTGTGTTAGTTATGCAAAAAAAAAAAAAAGGAAAGAAAGCAAGTAGCCTACCTGGTTGTTTTAAATAGGAGCATCACTTGACAGTCAAGGGAAATAATCCTTCCTGCCCTCCCTTCCAACAAGGTATTTAGCAGAATTCACAGATTCACTGGAATCTGACAAAGCCGCCCCATGAGTGTTTCTGCTATGACCTCAAACTTGCGACCTGTGCCTTGGCACCCGTGCCATCCCAGCCCCCAAGGGGAAGTGATCCTTCGATTTCATCGCTGGTTAGGCCTCACCTGGAGTTTGCCAGGTTTGGGGCACTGCACTTCAAAACATTATGGATGAATCGGAAAGAGTCTATTGAAGAGTAACAAAAATTATTAGAGGTCTATGAAATGTGACTTACAAGAGAAGGTTGGAAGAGCTAGAGCTATTTAGTCTGGAGAAGAGAAGACTATTGGGGGTATTTTATAAGTCTTCAGGTACATGGAGGGTTGTTATAAAGAAGAGGATGATACTCTTCTCTCTGTCCAAAGGGAGCAAGACAAAAAGTATTAGTCTTAACTGGCAACAAGGGTTAAATTTAGGTTGCGAGATACAAAGCCCTATTTTTCTATGATTCTGCATCGTTTGAATAGCACCTAAGTTGTCCAGTTGCTCTTTGTTATAAATCTACAGGCTCACATGTGGAAGGTAGCTGGCATGTGTAACTGACTCATGAAGAGGTAATGCATATGAATAAATTTAGTTTTTTCTTGTCACCATGCTTACATCAATAGGAGTTATTTTAAATCTGGCAGGAAAGAAGAGGGTGTATGCAACTCTAAAAGACCAAATGGAGATTGCTTCCCTGAAGTGAAGAGAAGCGGTAGTCAGATATTAATGATAATTAAGGAAAGGTAAAGGATGTTGAGCAGCTTTTACTTGGAGATATACAAACACAGAGATGGCAAGGATGTATTAAACCATATCAGTCTCCTTTCATGGACTGTGTCCATGTTGAGGGTGAATTGGAGGTTAAAGTTGAATTGAATTCCTTCCTGCTGTTTGTTTCTCATTGTGTATGTCTGTTTTTTAGGGACCAGTCACAGTCAAAGTTCAGGTTCCCAACATGCAGGACAAAACAGAATGGAAGCTGAATGGCCAAGTGCTGGTGTTCACCCTCCCACTCTCAGATCAGGTATGTGACATGCCATTCTAGTCTTAACTCCATCGTGTTGCTGGAAGTGGACAGAAGTTTACCACCTGCTGACATGCCATGTGCTGGAGAGGTTTGAGCTCTTTTTGCTTATTTCCAGGTCTCTGTTATAAAGGTTAAGATCCATGAAGCAACAGGAATG